CTGCTCGAATCTGAGCAGCCTTGGCAACCTCCTTTTCCCGAACCTGAGCAGCTTCAGCGTCAACCCGGTAGATAGCCACCACTGCATCAGCATTGGCCTTGGTCATTTCAACCTCTGATTTGGCCACTTCGAGCTCTGTGACCAGCTTCTCTCGATCAGAAATTGTATAACCCAACTAATACTGGAGCTCCTCGATTTTCTTGGCTTGCGCCAAAGTTTTTTCCTTTATATTTTGGAACTGAACTGCAGTCGAGGCCAGCTGGGCCCGGGCAGTCTCCTTTTCTGAGGCTAAGCGATCCATGTTCTTTTTCCATACTTCAGCCTCAATCCTTACAGTCTCTACCTCTTCACGGAGCTGCCCGTTTATGTCAATCTTTTGGTGGACTTGCGGGTTCAGATCGTTAGTCACAGCACCCGATTCATCTTCAGTAACTTCAAAGATTCTGTTTACCTGCTCAACCAGATCGGCATGTTCTTTTTGGGCCACCTCTAAAGCAGCTCGAAGGCTCTTAGCGTCCATTTCTCTTTACTCACTAAGAAGTTTGAAGGCATCCTTCTTCTCGGTGAGCCTCCGGATCTCGGCCTCATACCGGCTCAGCTCCCCTCGAAATCGAAGGAAAGCCTCGTGATGAAGCACCGAAGCCTGCAAACATAGAATGGAAAGTTATAAAAAGGAGAAAAATCTAAGTATGAAAATTGACAGGGAAATCAGGGATTACTCGGTTTAGAGCCTGTTGGGCTTCGTTGAAAAGACAAGGCGCTCCCACCTCGTCCATCTGGGCTCGGTCTTCTTTTGTGACCAAACACCGGAGGTAGCTGGCCACTCCTACGGAGGCAGCAAGAACCCTGGCATCCTCCGAGACCGTGATAACGATTGTTCGCTTGCACCCGGGATCGGCACAGGGGGGGGGCGAAAACTGATTGGTCAGTTTAAAACTCGAGGAAGCCTCGCCCGAGCTTTTCTTCGAAAACTCCAAGTCAATCATACCGGTGACATCTTCTACCCCAACAAAATAACCACGTAAAAGATCTTCCTCTCTGTAGGATCCTTCCCCGTGACAAGTTTCCGTGGCCTGAGCGTCGCGTATTATCGAATCGAAAACTGAAGGAAACAAAGGGGAATCCCCGATCTCTATTGCCCCAAGTGGGTCCTTTGAGGCATTGCCTCCATCTTGGGGAGCCTCAAGCCCGATTTCTGCACCAATGTCCACCGCCTCTTCAACGGTCTCTTTGCCCCGAGGTAAAGCATCTTCGGTTCCTCTTGGCTCGGGGACTTGGGCCGAAGTCTCCTCCTCGACCTCATCAAGCCTAGGCAGAGCAGTATCAACTCCCACCGGTTCCAAGGTTCTCCGAACCTCGGTGCCTCGCGCACGAGCCACCAGCCCAGAATCATCTTCATTCTCTTATTCTTCATCCTCTTCGGGCTCATCCAGTAGCTGACGGACTGAGTCCATTGTTAGAGGGATAACATTTCCCTTGCGATTTCGCCTATTTTTGGGCTTCTGCTCATCCGACTTCGTGGAGCTCAGAGACCCTCTCCTCTTCCGCTCTTTCTTCTGCTTCGGAGCAGATGTTTGGGGAAGGTTATCTTCATCGTCGGATGGGGGCTTTATTGGCACGTCCTTTCCGAGACCTTCAAAAGAAAGACGAGTAAGATCGAGAAAAAATTCGAACAATGGTCAAAATTGTCGAGTCATACGAAAATTTACCATGGTTTTGGGCCTACCATCGACCCTTCGCCAAATCACACCATGCGCGCTCAGCGTGTGTCAACTTCGATACTAGACTCCTGACCTAGTTCTCGAGTTGGGGAATTGCACCCGGCATCCAGGCAACGACTGCACCAAATAAAACACCGATAAGAAAGGATGAAAAAATAAAGACAATAAGCAGAAATTAAAGATGGATTTTTACTTAAGTCTCATATTCCATTTCTCCGGAAATGGCATACCTTCGGCCGGGATCAAGTCCGAGGTCTTCACTCGGACAAATCGGCCCATCCAGCCCCGGTCCTTGTCCTTATCTATGCTCGAGAAAGGTGCCTTGGAGGCCCGACGTTGAAGCTTTATTAGTCCCCCTCGATAAAGTCGGGGGCTATATAAGCGTATGAGGTGATCGAGGGTGAAGGGAAGCCCATCAACTTGGCTCACAAAGAGGCGGAGCAATATCACTATTCTCCAGAAGGAGAGGTGAATGTGACCGAGGGTCACTTGGTACTTCTTGCAGAAGTCTATAATGACTGGGTCCAGACACTTATAAACCCCTCCACATGTGTAGTAATTGACTCCTCAGGCGAGGGCACCGCCACGTGCCTGTCAACCCAGTTGCAGTCCTCTTTAACTTGGTCGAGGAGGTCACTGGTGATCGTGCATATGTACCTCGACATTGGCTCTCATCGACCCGTAACCGAGGGGATCTTTTCAACCTTGAAGTCGGAGTCAAGGACGCACCCCCCGGGAACGAATTCTTCAGGGCGAGGCTCCGGCGCTAGTTGCTCGCGGGCCGGCCGGGACGAGGAAGCAGCTTCCTTTTGCGGAACAGTTTTAGATTTTTTTGGCCATTTTGTTTTTGTAAGAAAAGAAGAATAGAGATTGGAATATTTGGTGTTTTGGGAAGAACAAACAAAGAAACTCAAAGACCTGGAGATAGGAAGCTCTGAAGAATGCAAAGAACTATGAAGATTAGAATGAAAGAGATTGAAAGTAAAGTTTGGGCAAAAGAAGAAAGATACATTTATAGGTTGAAGACGACGGTACAGAACCAGTAGTGGCCGACAACAACTGACAGGCATTTAATGCCTCGCCATCCGAACCAACAGGACGTTTCAGTGCCCACTTGTCACTGACGTCATGGTCGGGCTTGTTGCTTACGTCATGGTAAACCGAGGGGAAGCCCGAAGATTCAATTCGTTTCTTGTCATTATACTCCAAAAAATGAGGGGACTATCTGTATACGGTCAAAATCGGGCTTGCCTAATTTTGTATGGCTAATCGAAACCGGAGTGGCAGACAAAGGCTCGGCCCCGCGTTATATCGAACCATGGCACGGAGATGGATTGTTAAGCTCATGAATCAATGACCGACCAAGATCGAGACCAGTCGTGATCGAGATCGAAGCGAGATAGAGACCGAACAGGATCGAAGGAAGCCTGCTAAACCGAATAACAGAAAGCCGAGATATCCGTGGTCGGGCAAGGATCGAGGCAGAAATCTCGGCACGTATCGAGTCAAGACCGGACATTTAGCCAATCATGAGATTTCCTTGTGTATTTAGAATTGTACCGTATGTAAAATTCCTCTACTATATAAAGTGGGTTCTAATCATTTTGTAATCATCATATTCACGCATAACAAAGCAATACATTACATTTCTCTCTTAAGCTCTGTTGTTCAATTCATACTTTTTATTAGCACACTCTGTTGGTTCGAAGGCGATCTTAGCTCGAAGGCCGTAACTGCTCTTTATATTGGTTTCTAACTCTAATTCTCATATTTCTCAGTTTGTGCCAAGTGAAATAACATATCCTTAAAACCACTTATAAGTTTAATTGTTACCCAATTTTAAGGGTAAAACGGATTGATACTCAACTCACTATTTTATTACTTATGCATAGTACTTTATTACTTATCGACTATGTATACTTACATAATTAAAATCAAACGAAAAGTTCAAAAAATTAACGTCCCTTTTTTAAGTATCGTGTTTAGTGGCGGAATTAGATTGAGGGATGGGAAGCTGGGAATCGTTGAAAATGATTGCATAAATAGGCCAACAATAATTATTTTAATTGTATATCTTGATGTGGTTGTGACTAACAAGCTTTCTAGGTTGCGCAGCCAAGAGGAAGAATAAGCATTATATTTGTGCTTCGGAAGAGATCTTTGAGCCTTAGACGAGACCAATATATATTCAGTATTTGAACTTATTGCCGTCTTTTGACTGCAAGCCAGTTTTGTGTTTATTCTTAGTTGTGGCTTTCGAACCATCCAATTGCTTTCAAATGTTTAAATCATCAGATTTTAGCTTTCCAATGTTCTCTTTTGGTTACAGGTTATAGTATTGCTGCATACTGCTCTATGCCTCTACAAATTATAATAGATGATCTGATCTTGCTTTATTAAAAAGAAAATCAATTTTTTTATCCCTTTATATAAGTATTCTCGACTCCATTTGTTAGAGCCCAGTCAAGTATATCATTATATCCAAAGATAGTGAGCATATAGTAACTAATCTGAAGCCAGTAGATTTAGTCCGATTCAACCACCTTAATAATTTAGTTCAAACCATATTTTTATAATAAAAAATTCACTAAATATAAAAAAATTAAACTCAAAATCTCATTATTAATATCTAATATTACTAGCCTAAAATATAAAACTAACTGCGAATCCACCTTTAAAGCTAATAATTAATAACCCTAATAAAGCATGCATTTTGTGAGCAGAAAATAGGAAGGCAGAAGTAGGAGCTATATCCAGATAAGGACATTACCTACGTGAAATAATGAGGACATTCATTGGACGAATAAGGATTGTAGTACAGTGGTAAGTACTCATTCGTTCTTATGTAAAAATTTTGAATTTTGAGTATAGAGTAATTTTTATTACGGAACACTTCACCTTTTAATATGAAACTTTCCGACGCGAATTTAAATTTAATCGGACCTCAGTACGATTATTGAACGCTGAGAAACCTAAACAAAAAGACATGCATAGTACTAGAGAAAGTACGCAACAATTTTTAACCCAGAAAAACGAAAGGAAACAAAAGAAACAATGACTGACGCGTGGCACAACAGGGAGGGAAGAGCCAAAAGAGAGCGATTGTCAAGTCAACACCTGTCAAATACGTGTCGATACATGCATTGCCCAAGTTTCCTATCTTAGTATTGGGTTTGAACTTCTCATATTTCTATTCTAGCCTTTGTTTCAGTCCTTTTGCTTACATCTTCCAAATGGACCCCACCTTAAACCCCCCCCCCCCCTCTCCCCACCCCCTAGTCCTTTCTAATGCAGACACAAAACAAAAACCTCGTCTTTGAATAAATGTCACACACACATATATATATATTTCTTGGTTGTGTTCTTTGTTCTTCTTCTTACACAAATCTTGTCTTTCTCAACTTATGTGTATATATAAGTAATGGCTACTATGGTTTTTTAGCTGCTTTTATTTCTACTTCTTCATTTGACATCTTCGTAAAGAGTCTGAAATTAGCTTGGTGAAGCTTAGCTAGCTGAAAAATAATCAAGAAAAGGTATTGTCTATTTTCTTGATTTTATTGAGCTTTGTAATTTTTTTTTCCTTACTTTAATTTTTCCATTAGTTGAGCTAAGATCTGAAACTCCCAACACCATGTTTGATACTCTATGTTGTGTGTGTGTTTTTGGTGGGGTGGGGGTTTTTTTTGGGGGGGGAGGGGGGGGTGGGGTGTTGCTCTGTGTTAAGAGTGAAAGGAATATTTATAGGGTTTTGCTTGAGTTGCAAGATTGTGAACTAATATCATGCCTCTTGTCACTTTCATTGTAATACTAACAATTCATTTATATTATTTTCTGACTTATGTTCTCTCTCTTTTTGTCCCTCTATCTATATTTATTTTATATTTTTTTCCCTTTTAGGGTAGGGTAGATTCTCTCTGTCTATCTGTCTTCCTCTTTACATCTTGTTTATTAGTGTATGAATTAGTTATGACTAATTCATTAGTTTATGTTTAGATCTGCCCAATAAAAATTCGTTAAACAAAAGTGGAAAGTTTCCAAGCTAAGGCATTCTAAGCCCACATGCCAAGAAATATGCTCCTATTTTAGTAGTACCTTTTGCTTAGATCCACAAAGTCCATGTGTTGCTTTTGAGTGTAACAATCCCTTTTTGTTTTAAGCTATTTCTTTCATAATCTTGATTGAAATTCTAGTCAACAACAATAACAAACAAGTTGGGGTCGGTTAGATGAATCCGTTGTATAGTATTTTTGTCCCGTCTTTGTCGTCAGTATGCTAAAGACATAAGGGTCTATCGTATGCAGCCTTATCCTGCATTTCTGCAAGAGGTTATTTTCACGGCTCGAAACCGTGACTTTATGGTCACATGGCAGTATGGTAAAGGCACTTGGTAAAATATATGCGTAACATAGTTTTCAATTGTATCACTCTGTACAATTTTATCTTTTGAAAATGTTTTTTTTTTTCTTTTTTAGGTGACGTGATAATTTAAAGAAGATTATACTATAGTTGTCCTCCTTAGTGTTATTGTAATCGGTACAGTATCAGTGTATAGAAGTTAAACCAGTAACGACAATTGTCGAGCTTCCGTCGACCTATATTTATGTTATCTTTGGAATCTTCTGTTTTCTTAATGAGAGAGTGTGTGTGGGCGCGCGCGCGTGCTTGTTTGTGTATATTTTGTTTGGACATAGAAGTTTGTCTTTGCTTTATTGAAGCTTTAACCTTTGAACATAGGGGCCTCTTAGGCTCCTTATGTTATTTATTTTTTGGGGAGGGAGTTGGAGTAGGGGCCTGATGTTCAAAACCTTGGATCTATAAAGGCAATGAGAAATGAATTATTGTTAATTTTCTATTCACAATCGTGAATAAATGGACTATGTATAATCGAGTTTTTCTTCAATTATTGGAGGGTATATGCAAAATTATAGAGTAATAACCTTTCTCAAACTTTGTATTATTTGAGTTTGATATATGAGTACTTGATTTGAAGCTTTCCAATTTTATAAGTATTGGCATTTCTGAATTTCAAGAGTTGACATTTCAGGTTTTAGTTAATCACGGCGTAAAGGCATCTTGAACAAGTGAAAAGGACCAACTCTAACTAGGAAAAGAATTCAAAAAAATGGGCGTACCAGAATCGGAGATGGTGTCACAAGGTGAGGTTGAATCACCATTGCAACCAGATCAAAACCAGCACAAGAACTATCAGTTCCCGTCCCTCGGTAGACAAGCATCGATCTACTCCCTCACTCTCGACGAATTCCAACACACCCTATGTGAAAGTGGCAAGAATTTCGGGTCGATGAATATGGATGAATTCCTTAACAGCATTTGGACTGCTGAAGAAAACCAAGCCCACGCTCACGCGCACGCCCATGCCCATGCCGCGCACGGGCATGGGCACGCGCATTCTCATGCTCATAGCCAGGCACCAAGTACAGGGGAAGCCACTAGCACACCACATTTTGCGATAGGACAGAGCAATGTTTCATTGGAGAAAGCTATTGCCAAGCAGCCAAGCTTGCCGAGACAGGGTTCTCTTACGCTTCCGGAACCTTTGTGTCGAAAAACTGTGGATGAAGTTTGGTCAGAAATTCATAAGAGCCAAAAAGAGCAACATCAGAATAACGGGAGCAGTGTCCCGGACATGGGTAATTCCGCTCAACGACAGGTTACATTTGGTGAAATGACACTTGAGGATTTCTTGGTGAAAGCAGGGGTAGTACGCGAACAGGAGAATGCAACTGCCCCTGCACCTCCTCAACAGCAACCATATATGATGTATCAAAACAGCAACAATCCCACTATGGCCACTATGGCTCGACCTATTATTGGCTTAGGTGGAGTCACCTGCAGCGTTGGAGTTGGCATTCCTAGCTATCCACCACTTCCGCAGACCGGGGTGGTCGAGGCCCCAATATACCCGGTAAGTATGAAAAGGGGTGCCGGATTCCCACAACAGCCAACGGCTGTTTACGGCGGGAGAATGGGGAATGGTGGCGGGGTCGGGTATGGGCAAGTACAAGGAGTGGCCGGGATGGGATCGCCACTAAGTCCAGTGTCGTCGGATGGAATATGCGTTAATCAAGTCGATAGCGGGGGGCAATATGGGTTGGAAATGGGAATGAGAGGAGGAAGAAAACGCATAATAGACGGTCCGGTAGAGAAAGTGGTGGAAAGGAGGCAAAGGCGAATGATCAAGAATAGAGAATCAGCAGCAAGATCAAGAGCAAGAAAGCAGGTAAAATTCTTTCCCTTAATTTCGCTCGCTGCGTATCCGTTTGTCTATTTGACTATTAATTTTTGTTGCTGCAGGCTTACACAGTAGAACTTGAGGCAGAACTAAACCAGCTAAAAGAAGAGAATGCACACCTAAAACAGGCCCTGGTAGTAAATATAATAGCAGAAATGTCCTTAATTTTTGAGTATGGTTTATTGTCCATTCAAACTGAATTATAGTAACATATATATCTTTGTTTATATAGAGTGCTAGCATTATATCATGGAACTTATATAAAAGTTCTCTTGTTTTTCTTTTTCCTTTTGAACCTGCAGGCGGAGCTCGAGAGGAAAAGGAAACAACAGGTAATTCCAACTAATCGCACGTTATAATAGGTTTAGTCCCGAATAAGATGTTAATTTTGCTTTGTCAAATTTATTAACTTCAAAACTGGTTATGGTAGCAGTACTTTGATGAAATGAAAATGAAAGTGCAAACGAAAGCGCAAAAGGCGACAGACAAATTGAGAGGTATGAGGAGAAGTTTGAGTTGCCCTTGATGTGTGGATGATCGAAGACAGAAGTATCTCATCGGTAGATATGAACACGAGATATAGTAGAATGGCCGGCGAAGAGCAAATATCCGTTCTCTTTTGCTCGCGACAGATCAATCAATGGCGTCAAGGTAAGGCGGAAAGGTACGTGCACACGGAGAAGCTTGCAAGACCAGATGTTGTAGTCTTTTGACTTGCAAATGTTTGATTTTGAGCAGATTTAGTACTGAGTAGTTAGTAGCTAAATATTGAGTGACTGTGTAGTTAGTGAGTTTTAAGCTTTCTTGAGTTACAGATTATGTATACAAATTCACTTGAGCTAAAACACAACTGTAACAATCAAGAAGAGGTACTATGGTAGATAAGGCAACTACTACTAGTTTTATTTATTTGCGCGTTACTGCTTATAAGTCTCGAGGATTAAAGGTTAAAGCTTGTAACATAACTTATCGACCGTTTGCGTTTACGAGTACTAGATGGGAGGATATAGTGTCTTATATACACAATGTCTGCTTGAGTGATGTTGATTTCAGTTTTTCAATTGATTATGTAAGGTGGCGCGCACATATTGCGACACCTCAGGCGGGCGAATTTAACATCCATAAAACATAGTAGGAGAGTTGCTGACTTTAAATAAGTCTTAGACCTTAGTGGTGCGTTTTAGAATTGCGTGGTTGACAATATCAGTTTCGCTTAGATAAGTTTTAGACCTTAGTGGTGCGTTTTAGAACTGCGTGGTTGACAATATCAGTTCCGCATTAATCTTGAACGATGGTGGGTGAACTTCACGTCGATAAACCACGAGAAATATGTCGGGTATATAAGTAAACAAGCAGCCTTAGACTTTAGTGATGCGTTTTAAAATCTTGCGCGCCTAGGCCTAAAATATTATTTGTGGATTGGGCTGTTAAATATAGTATCAGTCATTTCGCGTGCAACTTTGAAGATGGTGGGGTGAACTATACATCGATAAAATATGAGAAAGATATTAGGTATATAAGTGAAAAATCAGCCTTACTGTTACGTAAAGTAAATTTCTTCTACTTGTTCTTTTTTTTTTTTTTTTTTGGGTTAAAGAGGAAAGTTCATGCCGCTTTGGTTGGCTAATATATTGTACAACTCTAACTTCACCTGTATCTATCACTTACATGTCATATAATCCATTTTTTTAAGGAAAAAAAAACTGACTCTTGGATAGAACTATGACACTATATCATGAACACTTCAAATTATTATATAGATTATCTAAAAGTCTTTATATGTATAGACTATTAATATAATGCCAAATATTTTTATAATTCGGTAGCTTTTAAATGATGCCATACATAAAATGTTATATTGAAACCCAAAGTTTTATAAATAAAACTATTTACCATGACGTTTTCTTGAATAAATAAAGAAGAAAAAATAAATCAAAAAATAAAAATAAAAAAGTGGTGAAGTGTACAATGTTAACCATCATTATCAAGAATCAACTAAATTACAAATGAATTCTTTTTCAAAGAAACTAAGCTTTCTTTGTAAGCAAAGGCTTGCAAAAAGTAGCCATTTTTTTGGTGGCCAAGAATTCTGTTTTTCTTTGGACAAGAATCAAATATGTCCAATTGCCATGTACTAACTTCAAGAAAAATTTCCCCTTTATTTCCATAACCAATTGACCTCTTGATATTACAAAAAGGGCCAATTCTTACCTTTTTAGTCCAATAGCCTTTTTTCTCCATTACCCATATGTCAATACTTGTTTCTCTACCAATAATTATTGGCTCATAAATATACATAGCAATGAAATCATTGAACAATGCTAAATCCCCTTGTTTGGATATAAATGACTTTGGTGTTTGAATTTCTTGAATTGTGTCATTGCTCATATCAAAAGCAAAGATTTTATCATTTTTACATGCCTTCCAATAGTAAAATCCATTCAAGTATGTGTTACCACTTGATTTAACCATGTCACGACTAAAAATATTGAATTCCTCGAAATTTCTCGAAGAGTTCGTACTCAGCGTATAAACCGAAATAATTGTAGGAGAGTACCAGTTTTCAGAATAATCGTCCCAGTAATCTCTTATCCAGATAACTTTATAGTCACCACTCGAGGGTTCGATTCCGAACCCAAATTTATATGAAGACAAATGAAATGAAGGGGAATTTAAGGGTTGACATATTGGAAAAGGCTTAAAGTCTTTAGTAGAAGGGTTCCATAGTGCTACTTCTTCTTGATCATTATAAAGCAAAAATATACCATTTAAAGGACCAAGAATTTCCCACAAATATGTAGATGTGTTTAAAACATCTTGGTACAAATGGGATTTAGCTAATAATTGGTTTTGTTCATAAAATAAAGTGAAACCAGATTTCATTGTATCAAGAAAATAATGATGAACAAAATAATTTGTAGGATTATTGGGATGGTTAAGGTGTTTTTGAATAAAACTAGGATTTTCAATGAGGGCATACCAGTCTTTTTTGACACTCTTGGATTGCAAAAGACATTTCACAGGCAATCGTGAGAAAATTTCCATCACTAAATCTTCTGGTAAGTCACTAAAGTTTGTTGTTTGCACCATTTTTGTTTCTTCCAAGAAATGGAATTGTTTCCAAAAATAGAAGGAAAAAGAAAAAAATAAGTAATTTGGTATAGAGAGTTATTTTGAAGGGGTGGGTATGTGTGTGTATTTATATATAAAAAAAAAAAACACCCACTCACACATATACACGTGTGTGTGTGTGAAATGAATTCAGCCATAGGTCTCTATGGTTAGCCAATTTCCTACCTACAAACTTTATATATGAGTTTAATATATGTGTATTGACGCCATAACAATAACAATAAACTCAGTGTAATTTTACAGAAGGGGTCTGAGTAGGGTAGTATATACACAGACTACTCCGACCTTAAGAAGGTAGAGAGACTGTTTCCGTTAGACCCTCGACTTAAAAAATGATGAAAATATAAGCAATAACAAATAACTTAAATCCATTTTTTTTATACATAAGGGGTGGGTATGTGTGTGTATTTTTATATAGTTACTACATATATAACTTAAATCCTTTTTTTTTTGGGTAACTAAAAGAAAATTATGTGTGCGTGTGTCCATATATCAGCCATGAGCCTCAAGGTTAGTTAACTCCATCCTGTCCATATGTGTGTGTGTGTAAAATTGAACATCAGCCATAGGTCTCCAAGGTACAACAAGCCACACCCACACAGAGATGAGGTAGCTAAATTCAAGGGGGCCACATACCCCCCCCCCCCAACAACCCCCCAACCCCACCCGGCCCTCTTCATATTTATTAAGTAATCTAAGTGGGCGTTTGGCCATAAGAATTGTAAAATTTCGGAAAAAAATATATAAAAAAACATTCAAGTGAAAATGGTATTTGAAAATTAGAGTTATGTTTGGACATGAATATAATTTTGGGCTGTTTTTTAATTTTTATGAGTGATTCAAAGTGAATTTTGAAAAATAATTTTTTGGAGTTTTTCAAATTTTCGAAAAATGTGAAAATTAAAAATTTTATGGCCAAACACTGATTTTGAAAAAAAAAAATATATCGATATTTTTTATGGCCAAACGGGCCCTAAGACTTGATTATGATAAATTAGGAACGACTTTTAATTCAAATACAATTGACCTATCCATCTTGAGATTTTGAGTCGATCATGACTTGACTATTTTGTTATTTGAATTTATTTTAACCCGTCCAAATTTTAAAAATTTAAATAAAACAGAGAATAGTCTATGGCTCTTTATTAATTCATATATTCTCCATTATATTGTATAACTCTAAAACTGGCTTGTATATATGTCATATAAATATATAATCCATTTTTTGTGAGAAAATAATCAAATAAAACTATGGCATCGTATCATGAACACTTCAAATTATTTAATACTGTCGCTTATAGTGATCTAACACTTTAATATATATTATCTAAAAAGTCTTTATATGTATAGACTATTATGGCCAAATATTTTTGTAATTCAGTAACTTTTAAATGATGCCATGACATAGAATATTATATTGCAACGCAAAGTTTTATAAATAAACTATTTACCATGACGTTTTCTTGAATAAATAAAGGGGAACAAATAAATCAAAAAATAAAAATAAATAAGTGGTGGACAAAATTGAAAATGTTAGCCATCTTGATCACGATCAAACTAAACTACAATTTTTTTTTTTTTCAAAAAGTAGCCATTGGATCAAATATGTTCAATGCCATGTGCTTTCTTCAAGAAAAATTTCCCCTTTGTTTCCCCGAGTGACCACCCTTTTTCGAAAAATTACATTGTGTATATAAGTAAACTATTAGGTTTTAAAGGTATATAACATATATTGGATACCTTTTATCGGAGAATTTTTTTCACTTTTTCCAAATTTGAATACCCTTATGAAAATTTCTGGATTCGCCATTGTATATATGTGTGCCTATATATCGGCCATGGACCACAAGGTTTACTAACCCCATCTTGGTAGAAATGAAACCCTGAGAATGACATCTCTAAAAATAACTAATATCTAAATAATATCCCTGAAAATGGCTATCTATGCATTTGCCCGTTCTGTCCATAAGTTTCCGAGGTATGACAATCCAACCCCACCTATCATCTTACTGGTTTACCTATCCTAAAGGGAAGTAATGAAGAAGAGACAGCATGATTCTTACCTAACATTTCAAAATAATGACAAAACAAACATGAGTAAGTTGTATTGGAGGGGACCACATTCACAACCACCGGGGAGTACGTAGAAATTTTTGTAGGCGGTGTCGAAATTTACAAGAGAATTAAAATATAACTTTGATTATCATACCTTTAGACAAGAAATAACCTTAGTCTATTGATTTTGTTGAGTCTTAAGTTACAAAAGGTCCTGAGTATTTGCAAAAGAAAAATGTGCTAGTTGAGGTTTGAACCTTTGACCTTTTAGAGAAAAATCAAGCACATTACCAACACACCAAGACACAATTTATGTTAAGTAGTGTCATTTTTTCCTACTTATCTATTTCCGTACAGTATGAATACATATATTTAGTAAAATTTTCCAACGAAGCGGTGTCGCGTGACACCGCTTCGGTAAGCATAAATCCGCCCCTGCCCCCCCCCCCCCCTCCTTCCTTTTATATTTATTAAGTTAACTAAGACTTCGTTATCATTACCCGCTTATGATTTATGCTTGCTCTTCAGCCGAGGGTTTATCGGAAACAGTCTTTTTGTCCTACTTGAATAGGGTTAAGATCTGCGTATACATTTTCCTTCCCAAACCCCACTTGTGAAAATTTACTGGGTTTGTTGTTGTTGTTGTTGTCTACTTCGTTATCATCACATGGGGTTCAATGACGGACCCAAAATTTCATCAAGCGGGTTCAAACATACGAAGAAGTAATGTACT